GTATGACCTGCGTCGGGAGTCCTTCGTCTCGCCACGCCCAGCGCCGGAAAAAAAAACGCTGCGAAGACAGGGCGGCGACAGCTGAGATCGCTTCCTCCCTCCCTTCCCCTGCCCTCCCGCACTCCTCGGCGGTTGCCAGAGGTGTGCCTGCCCTCGCAGGCCTCGAGTTTGACACCAACACCAATATCGGCGGCATGCCTCCACCGAGGGAAGAAGATCCCGGTCTCGGTGATGGTGGTAAGACTCTGGCTTCAAGGTGGCCGAATTATTACCACCGACACCGAAGTCTAGCATCGTCGTCCCCCTGTGGAGGCAACCCCCTGTCTTGGTGTTGGTGCCAATTTCCAGGCCTCCAATAGGGGAACAACAAGTGAAATAAACGTAAAATCCAGGAGGTCCGCGCGGATTTCTCGAATCGGCGTTGAGGAGGAGGAGGGGAGCCAATGAGCAGGGCGGGGAGCAGCAGGAGGAGGGGCACGGCGAGCAGCGGAGAGCGCCATCAGGTCTTCGCCGCGTTCCCCTTCGAGGGCATCCTGGGCCTCGCGTTCAAGGCTCCCGCCGCCGTCCCACCCTGCCGCCGCTCGCCGAGCTCCTGCTGCTCGCTCGCGTGAGAGACTACCTGGCCGCCCACCTCCCCTTCCGTCGCCATGAAAGACAGGTGATCGTTGTCTTAGTCATTGTTTTGCCGATCGGCGCGGGCCCTCGCACCGTCTCCCCCCCTCCCATGGAGTGGATCTTGGCTGTGTTTGGCGCCTGTTTCAAGCAGGTGGAGTCTCCCCCATAGGATGCACTGTTGTAAACAGTCGCACGAAGCAGAGGTCTGGAGCCAGACCCGCCCCCCCCCTCCGCCCAATGTCGAAACGCCGAATCTGAAAACGCTCAACCCGAACACGGGTCCTGAGGGAAACGTGTCCCACAGTGGAGGCCCATGCCAAGGAACACCATGCTTGCCTCCAGGTTGCCCTGGGTTTCTCTGTTTTCGATGGTTTTTCGATGGAAAGCGCAACGTTTTCCACACCAAAAATCATCGGGCCTCCTGGGGTCTCAGGGTTGGGCTTCTTGTGGAAGGTTTCTTGTGGACTGGCCTCCACTATAGGCCTCGGAGCTCTCCGCAGGGCCAGCTCTCGCCTGGAGGCGTCCTGGGCCCAGGAGGACGAGGAGGAGGAGGAGGAGGAGGAGGAGGAGGAGGAGGAGGAGGAGGAGGATAGGAGGAGGAGGAGGAGCGGAGGAGGAGAGGAGGAGGAGGAGGAGGAGGAAGAGGAGGAGGATAGGAGGAGGACGTGGAGCAGGAGGAGGAGGAGGAGGAGGAGGAGGAGGAGGAGGAGGAGGAGGAGGAGGAGGAGGAGCGGGGGGCATCTTGGGAGGGCCCTGGGACGTTCTGGGAGGGCCCCGGGGGGCCCAGGAGCGGCGAAGGAGGCTCAGAGGACCGCTTTCCTCCGGGGCGCCCGCTTCCTTCGTGCGCTCGCTTTTTAACTCCCCTCGCAATCAAACGCAAGTTGTTCATGGTGGTCGACGCGCGAAACGCGGCCCACGAGGTCCGAGTTTTGTGTTGATTTGCAGCCGCCAATTTCGGCGCGAGCATGGACACTTGGAGGTCCTGGGGCGCCGCCACGTCGCGGGAAGGACTTGCGTCTGATTTCGAGGGGGATGTAGATGCTCGTTTGGGGGACCCTCCTGGGGGCCACCCAACGGATCGGTTTGACTCCAGATCGAGCCTAGTTCGTTTCTGCCTCGACTTAAGGTCGACTCAAGCTCGACTCAAGTTCGACGTAGCATCGGCGCAGCATCGACGCACGAGTGGAGCGAGTGGCTACAGGAAGGTCCCCACAGAGAGCATCTAACGCACCTCGGTGGGGTTCACCTATCCTTCCGTTGGCGCGACCGCTTGTGAAGCCGCACTCGTTTTGTATCGCGAAGGCCTTACGGCCAGTGCCGCCGACCCTGAAGGGGGACGACAACGACGACGACGACGACGACGACGACGACGACGACGACGACGACGACGACGACGACGACGACGACGACGACGGCGACAACGGCGCCGGCAACGGCGACGGCGGCGGCGGCGGCGACGGCGACGGCGACGGCGACGGCGACGGCGACGGCGACGGCAACGACGACGGCGACGGCGACGGCGACAGCGACGACGACGACGATGACGACGACAACAACGACGACAACGACGACGACGATGCAAGCCCTCCGAGCGGTCTCCACGCCCCCTCTGCTTCTTCCTTTCCTCCCTCGGCGTGCTGGACCAGCTCATGTGTTTCCCAGCGTACCTGGGCCATCCACTGGGCCGTGGAAGCCTGGGCGATGCCCGAGCCCTAGATGGCGACCGTTGTTTCACCGCAACTGGTTGCGGCCAACACCGTCACCTCAGCAGTCGCGGATAGGAGTGAGAGGACGTTCGCTTCGAAAATGACCAGCTAATACACAATTCGGCGAAATCGTTTTTTTCCACACGCAGTGCTTACACTAAGGGCTTTCTTCCTGGAGATGTTTTAATCTAGGCCTCATATATGGACTCGGAGTAGATGGGGTCGGAGGATCGCGCCGCATCGCAGATGCACCGCCCATGTGGCTCGATGTGGGGCCCGATTTGCTTTACGTCGACGTCGCCGATACATCGGCGATGCGGCGCAATCCTCCGACCCCATCTACTCCGACCCCATCCAGCAGGCCAATACTCTTAAAAGCTCCAGGAAGGAAGCCCTTAGACGCTTGAAAACTCCAGCTTAAAAGCCCCAATAATCTGAAACGCTATCGGCGGGATGCGTCTTGGCTGTTCCTCTTCGAGACAATCATCCTCTAACTCGTATCCGCGTCTGCTGAGGTGGCAGTATTCGGCGCAAACAGATGCGGTGTAGCGCGACCCTCCGACCCCATCTACTCCGACCCCATTTGAGGCGTTCCAAGAATGTCCCATTTGAGGCGTTCCAATACATGCCCATTTGAGACGTTCCAAAAAGAGTTGTCATCTCTTCCGCCGCGGAAGGCGGCGGGAGGTGGGCAGAAGTAAAACGAGGCCGCCTCCGCCGGCGGAAGGCGGCGGAAGTTTAAGACGCGCCCCCAAGAGATGAAAACGTTTTTGGGTTCAGGGTTCCTGAAACCGCCCATCCAGGAGACCTCTACAGCCAGCCCGGATTAGTAGGTCGACCCTGCCTAATCAAGGGTACCCTTGTGTCCTGTGCCTCGCGACCCGTGATGCCTGCATTCCTACAGCAGTGTGGCCCTCGGAAGGGTCTTCTTAAGGAGCCGAACTCTATACACCGACGCTCTTTCCTGCCCCACACTGGAACTCGCACAGGAAAGCGGGTCCTGATGTATACGGGATCCTGGTGAATACATTTTTTTTATTGTTTCCAGGGAAAACGGGGAACAAGTATACACCACACCACCCCGACCTCGCCCCCGACCCTCAAAAATCTTGGGATTGCAAAAAAGCCCGCCAGCCTCGTCTAGGTCGGGGCGGTCTGCGCTACGACGGCCACTGCTGGCTCTCACCACGGCGCCTCGCCTTCGTGGATGGCGGTCTGACGGCCGCGCTGGTACGCACGAAGATCAGCGGCGCAGGGCGCAAGATGCCGGAGCTGTTGCTGACTATATCCCGCAAGTGCCACATGCGGGGCCCGTCGTGGACAGAGAAGGGCCTCCGCTTGCGGCAGGACGTCGCGGACTTCGACAGCTCCAGCTTCCGCCTTGTGTCCTTTCGCGTGTCCTGTCCAGTCGCGCTTTGTTGTCGCCTCGCGCGTCGCTCTGTTTGTTTTTCCCGCGTGTCCTTTGCCTAATTAGTCTCTGCGTAGCCCGCTTTGACCTGACACGCCGCCGGCGCGCTCGACCGCGGCCGCTGACTAAAAGTGTCCTGTCCAGTGAAGCCCGACTGCGTTGAAGCCCTCGGCCTGCGCTTCTAAGTGGCGTTCCGTCAAGAAGAGTCTGCTTATTGTGGTGTTGTTGTCGTTGTTGTTGCGTTGTCGTCGTGCTCGCCCGCGACCCACAACGCGACCAACTTCGCAACCCACTCCGCGACCCACCCGCGACCCGCCCCGTCATTCTTATCCGCAACTGCGGGGTGCTACTTATATCCCCGTCGCGCATGTGCCTGCTCCGGACCTGTTCTGGGAGTGTGTCACCGGCTGGGTTGCACGCCGTGCCGAGTTGCAGCATTTGTCGCGCGCGCGATGGTCGTTTCTAGGTGGAACTGCTTCGTGCACCGATCCCAGCGTGCCGCCCAGACTGATGCCACTCCCGGCCGCAGTTGATGATACACATGTTGGGGGTGTTGCTTGTTTCCGTCTGTCCGTCTGCAACTTTTCGGTTTTCGGCCACCCAAATACGGGAACAAAGCGGCAGCCCAATACCAAACGGAACCGGACCGAAAGTGGCGCGAACGAGAATCCCAACACTGAGCAAGTCGACCCCAAAACGGAACGAAGTATATTTTTGCAAATTAAACAGACGCCCACCGACGTTTTCAACATAATTGGAGCTCCCGCTTCGCCGCGCACTCAGAAGCGAGCACGAGTGTTGTTACTCCAGATTTCGTAATAAAGGGAGAGGGGTCTCATTTCGGGGGGGGGTCTCTTCCAGGCTATCTTGGAGGGCCTGGGGGGTCTGGGGACGACGTTTTGGAGGGTTCTCCCACGGGGGAGGTCTGAAATGGCTTGTCTTGGAGGGTCCAGGCCCCCTCCCTTTTATTACGAAATCTGGAGTACGCAGAGTCTTAGGTGGCTTGCGTGCGCTTGCACCTCAAGGAAGTGCGAGAGTCTGAGCAGGGCGGCCGATTGGCAGAGCCACGCTGCGTACACGTGGCCGCAATCATGGAGCCAGAAGCGACTCAGCGAAGACCAGGTTCCTGTTAACAGGTGTTTGTTTGGGGAGCTGCTGGTTTGCGTGAAAATAGACGGAGCGTTTCTGGGTGAATGGGACATGTCAAGGGAGTGGCCGGATGGGTTGTACAGCGGAGGGGGTTAGTTATGGTAGCGCTTCTGGGCGGCAAAATGTGGATACCCCTCGCCGTGCAGTCACTGTCCTTCGGCGGGATTGAGCCGTTTTTCGAGCGGGTCATCCAGCAGAAGCTGCTCGAGCACAACGAGTTCCCGCGCGGCCGATGTTTTTCTTGGGGAGGCAAAGGTAGAGGCAAGTATGGATGCTACGACAGATGAGAGAGGAGGTTACCTGGGGGAACAGGAAAAGGAGTAGCACGCTGACGCCAGAGCGTAATAGGAAGCGCAATGTGTATTTCTCATGCTGCATGATATGTTCAAGGTCTGTGTTGTGTGTGGTGTATTCGCGCCGCCCTTGTATGATTATAGTTAGAAGGGGGTGAGGACGAGGATTAGGAGAAACATGTAGTGTATCGCGGTTGTGGTACAGCCCACGTGGACCACCAGCAGGTAGCGGAACAACGTACACCTTACCGACATCACATCATTTAGAGGAATTTGGTTGGATATATATATATATATACATATCGAAAATGGAACATGTGCGCATGGCCGAAGTGTGAACGAATGGTTGGTCGCGTCCAACCCCCGAGTCTAAGGCCAACACTTGAGAAGAAGTCGGGATACACATGCATGCATATGTAGACATGAATTTATTCACTTGTGGGATGGAATCCATTCTGCACGGAGGTCCAATGGCGCAACTATGACGAGGTGTCGCGTGGGCCCTGGAGGATGCCAAGAACGGGTCAGGCGGGCGACCGCCAGAATCTTTGGCTGCGCCACCCAAAAGTCCGGCACGCGACCAGAGGATGTGGCACGATTGTAATGTTGCTGTGCAGGCGCTTCGCGAGAATGCGACTGATGACGCAGCGTTGAACTGAGTATCGCTGATAATTGAGTAGTGCGAGGAGGCAGACACAGGCACGCCTACGCGCTTCACATCAACTTCTGCATCACCAGGAGCTCCAGGTGGATTCCTGAGTCTCGGTGCTCCAGATCAGACAGTACTTTCACACAGCACGAGATAGAAAAATCGCTGTGCCAGCAGGTGCCCCACGGAAATTTCTTATCCCCCCGATGAACCTTGGGACCCACAGACGCTCCAGAGCACCTTAGGGCCTCAGCCATCGGCGAAGAATGCGCCCCATGCTTTCTTACAGTACGATGTCTTTTGTTCACATGTGCCTACAGTCGGCCCGGATTAGTAGGTCGACCCTGCCAAATCAAGGTTAACTTTCTGTCCTGTGCCTCGCGACCCGTGCCTCCTGCATTCCTACGGCAATGTGGCCATCGGAAGGGTCTTGTGTCCTCTCGCGTGTCCTGTCCAATGAAGTCCGATTGTACTGCTACGCAGGGCAAGAGGGAGCGAACGCCTACGAGGCTGCGCGTGCGAGCAGACCTCGATCGGTCCCCGATGAGTCCCACATTCCGCTCGAAGCGTTGCCCCGCGGAGCCTCCAGACCTCGCCGCTGTGCCAGCCTGCGGGGCGTTCCGGACAGGATGGGCCGATCTTCCAGCACCACTAACACAGATAGGAGAGGGGGAGGAGGAGGATTATGATGATATGGAGGAGGAGGAGGATGAGGAGGAAGAGGAGGAGGAGTGGGAGAAGGAGGATTCTGATAATGTGGAGGAGGAGGAGGAGGAGGAGCAGAAGGATGAGAGGAGAGGAGGAGGAGAGGAGGAGGAGGAGTGGGAAAAGGGGATTATGCTGATGTGAGGAGGAGGAGGAGGGAGGACGAGGAGGAGGAGGAGGAGGAGGAGCAGGAGGAGGAGGAGGAGCAGGAGGAGAAGGAGGAGGGGGAGGAGGAGGAGGAGGAGGAGGAGGAGGAGGAGGAGGAATGGAGAAGGAGGAGGAGGAGGAGAGGAGGAGGAGGAGGAGGAGCTATGAGGAGGAGCAGGAGGGAGAGGAGGAGGAGGAGTGGAAAAGGAGGAGTATGATTGATGATGATGATGATGATGAGGATGATGATGAGGAGGAGGAGAGGAAGGAGGAGGAGGAGGAGGAGGCGGAGGAGGAGAGGAGCAGAAGGAGCAGGAGGAGGAGGAGGAGCAGAAAAGGAGGAGGAGGAGGAGGAGGAGGAGGAGAGGAGGAGGAGCAGGAGGAGCAGGAGGATGGAGGGAGGAGCAGAAGGAGGAGGAGGAGGAGGAGGGGCTTTTGAGGAGAAGAGGAGGAGTGGGAGAAGGAGGCGGAGGAGGGAGGAGAGGAGGAGGAGCAGGAGCAGGAGGAGGCGGTCAGCAGGAGGAGGAGGCAGGAGGAGGAGGAGGAGGATGGGGGAGAAGGAGGAGGAGGAGGAGGAGGAGGAGGAGGAGGAGGAGGAGGAGGAGGAGAGGGAAGAGGACCTCCCAGTCCTCCCTTCTCCCGAACCCTACCTGCTGCAGCAGTGGTGGACACCTGGCACCTCAAGAGAAGGGCCTCACCTTCTGGGTTTCGAGAAGTTGCTTGCCTCTTCTGCGGTGGACGGCGGCGGAAGGGCTGCAGAGGCCGGCGGCCGTGAAGCGAGGGCGGCTCACCAGACGGAATCGGGAGCCTTCAGACGGGGGTCAATGCAAACGGAGGTCAGCCAGGGCGCCAGCTCTTGCAGGATCCTGCAGAGCCAGGGGTGCACTGACCCGGGTTTGGGTGCAGGATCCTGCAGGATCTTGCAGGATCCTTCGCATTGACCCGGGTTTGGGTACAGGATCTTGTAGGATTTTGCAGGCCTGACTGACCCGGGTCTAAATTGACCCGGGTCCGGAGATCCCCGACGGAAGCTGGCGGAAGTAAGATTTGCGCCTCCAGTCAGAGGAGGAAAATTCGGGCGAGGCCAGGACGAGGATAAATCCGTCCAGAGCGTTCCGGAATGCTCTCAGAGTATTTCAGGGCGCTCTGAAATGGCCGCGGCGCCCGAGACATCCTCCAGAGCCGCCGGATCGCAGAGATGCTCGATCTATCCTCACCCTAATTGATCCTCGTTCTAGCTTCGGCTTCAAAAGGTTCCCAGATGCTGCTTCCCTCCACTCGTTATCCCCCTCTTGGGCCTCCTGGGAGGCCCTGGTCGCCACCGCTGGATTCTCCTCGAGATTCTGGTCAGATCGCACCCTGGGAGTGGTCCAGGGAGTAGCGGTACGGTATCGGTGCCTCTTCGCTTCCCCAACCAAAGAGTGACAACATTTTTGGATCCAGGGTGTCAGGAATTGGCCACATGGAGTGCCGCCTGTAACGGTTCGCAGAGCCTTTGTTTCTGGTTCGTTCTGCCAGGGGGGATGGGCAGTAGTGATAAATCAGTCTTCGCTGCCTGCGTGCGATGCGCTCTCGACATCGGTGGCCCCTGATTTGATCCAGGAGTCCAGGAGCAGTCCATCCAGCAATCCATCCAGACATGATTTGTCGGTGCTTGCGCATACGGGCGATTTCTGTTTGTTCACGGTGTCCGCGCTCGCGCTGGCGAGACGTTCCCGCTCACACAGACGCCGCGGGCTCGCGGGCGTGTTCTTGCCAGGATTTGCGAACAAACAGGGGAGAGAGGAGGGAACCAGGGATGGGGTGAATGACGGAGAGGGGAGGCAGGGATGGAGGGAAGGAGCCAGGAGCGTGGAATTGGGGGCCACGTCAGGTTTGCCTTCTACCTGAACGTGGACAGCACGAAGCCGAGCGCGCTGCTCTGGGGAGGCATCGACCAGAGCCTGTACGAGGGCCCCCTGCGCATGTTTCCAGTGGTGCAGGCTGGGGCGGACGGTGCCGCTGCTGCTGGCCTCCTTCCCCACTGCTCGTCGTTTGAGCTGACCTTGGCCACATCGTGATCTGGTACGGCTGCCTTTCAGCGCGTCGGAGGATCAGGCTGCACACAACTCCTGAGAGGAGGGGGATGTGGAGGAGGTGGACGAGGAGGAAAGGTGAGAGGTGGGGGAAGGGGGAATATGGGCAGGGGAGGTAGGGGTGGAGGAGGGGGGGGGAGGGAGATTGGAGGGGGGTAGGAGCAGTTGTTTCTTGTCTTGTTTTATTGTTTTGTAAAGGTTTGGGGGGAGGAGGATGATAGGTCGTTTCCCTTCTTTCTACCACTCGCGGCGCTCTGAACCATGAAATTGAGCATATGATTGCGATAGATGTGCAGCTGAGATGCTGAGAAATGAGTCTAAGATGTACATCGACTGAGATGCATCGTTTCCCTTGCATGTGCAGCGCATTCCTGTGCACAGCGCGCGAAAACGTGCACCACACATAGAGCATCTAGCAGCAATTGGGTACCGTGGCGAATTTTCCTTCCCGCACCGCAACAGAACCACAATGATCACACGAGTGTTGACACCCCCCCTGCGTCGCAGGATGTGCCTTTTCATGTTGTGCTTCGAGCTGCAGGATACCTGCCTATGTTGGAGCCCTGGCGTTGCACCAAGAGTAGACTGATGGCATGTTGATCTTCGGTTGTCCGCGTCTCCCAAAACTACACAACGAAGGACCTCCCCGTGGGACACGACATGTGTAAGTGGTGTGCCGAAACGAAGCGCGTGAGTGGTGTGCCGAAATTGGGCAGGCAGGAGTAGGATGAGGAGGCCGAGGAGGAGGAGGACCAGTGTAGACCCAAGACGCATCAACGAAGTTGTATTCAACCCTCCCTCCAAGTTCCTTCTTCACAGGTCTCTACAAGAATTGATTTGCATTGCGGGAAGTGGCCCAGTAGAAGACAACCGTCCGATTATCCTCAGCCGTGCCAAAAACACCGCGCCTGGGACGCCAGCGCCGCGGGTCCGCGTGACTGTTGCGCCCTGGCAGCCCTACATCGTGCCAGAAGGCCCTCCCTGGGACTCCACTGCGGACCCACGTGACTGCTGCGCCTGGACCATCCTCAGCCGTGCCAGAAGACCACTCCTGGGACGTCTGACTGTTGCGCCCTGGCAGCCCCACGTCCCGCCAGAAGGCCCTCCCTGGGACTCCTCTGCGGACCCACGTGACTGTTGCGCCTGGACCACTCTCAGCCGTGCCAGACTTGGCATTGATTTGAGCATTTGCGCTCGTTTGCGCTGTTTCGGTCTTTGGACCACTTGGCCACGCATTCTGGCGTCGCGAGGGCCGCGCGCGGGCCGCCTTTTTGTTGTTGCTGCTGTTACTCTTGTATGTCATTGCTGTTGTTGTTGGTGGTGTGTGTGCGTGTTGCTCCCAGGAGTGGTCTTCTGAGAAGACCACTCCTCGGACGTCTGACTGTTGCGCCCTGGCAGCCCCACATCGTGCCAGAAGGCCCTCCCCGGGACTCCACTGCGAGCCGTGCCAGAAGACCACTCCCGGGACTCCCGCGCAGCGCCTCCGCCAGCGCCCGCGTGGCCGCGGAGGCGGCCGCGGAGGCGGCCCGCCAGCTCCCGCGCGGGCCGGCCGCGGTGCCGCGGGCGGCGCTCGGCGGCGGGCGCGCGGCGGCGGCTGCGCCCCTCCTGCCGGGCGCGCGCGGCGGCCCGCGCGGCCGCGGGCGCAGCCGACGCGCCGCTGGCCGCGACGGCGCTCCGGCCGCTGGCGGGGCCGCCCCCGACGCCGCCGCGGCGAGCTGCGGGCCGAGGCACGGGCCTCCTCATAGGGGAACAAAAAGTGGCATAAAACAACAAAAACTCGGAGGTCCGCGCGATTTCTCGGATCGGCGCTGGACCCCCCTCCCTGGCGCGCGGAGCGCGCCAGGGGCGGCGCCGGAGGCGCCGCCGGGTGGGGCCCAGCGCCGATCCGAGAAATCCGCGCGGACCTCCGAGTTTTGTTGTTTATGCCACTTTTTGTTCCCCCTACTCAGATTTCATTCATAAAGGGAGGGGGTCTGGACCCTCCAAGACAAGCCATTTCAGACCTCCCCCGTGGGAGAACCCTCCAAAACATCGTCCCCAGACCCCCCAGGCCCTCCAAGATAGCCTGGAAGAGACCCCCCCCCGAAATGAGACCCCCCTCCCTTTATTTACGAAATCTGGAGTGTACTTCAGGCAGCGCAGCACGGCCGGCCTCTCAGCGCGCTCGGGCCAGGCGGGCGCGCTGCGAGGGCGGGCGGAGGCGGCGGCGGGCGGCTGGGCGCCGAGGCTGCCCGGGCGATCGGGTGGCTCCCGCCCGGGGCCCCAGGGCAAGGGGGCTCTCGAGCCAGGGGGCGCCGAGGCTTCGGGTCCGCTCGGCTTGGCCCGCAAGGCCGTCGCAGGACGCCCTCGCTCGCCCTGCAAGGCCTCGGCTGCAGCGTCGCGGTCTTGGAGGTCCCCCTTTCCCCGGCGCCCTGGCGCCCTTTCTCTGAAGTCGGGCCTGTCCCTCTACAGGGGGAATATCCAACAACAGTCAACAAAAATAGTCTGGGGACGATTTTTGATTATTTGTTTTGACCATTTGGGGGCACTTGTGGGGGTATGTTTCATTTTTCGTCCAAAATCCCCCTGTAGGGGGAGAGGCCCGACCTAACCCTTCTCAGGAAACTCATCCTGACCGGCCTCTCGCGCTCGGGCCCGGCGGGCGCGCTGCGAGCGCGGGCGGAGAGGCGGAAGAGTGGAACAGTGTCGTTGGGACGCGCTTTGGTGAATGGGGTACGCGATCAATTCCAATATGTGTGTTCCACGGTTTTGGATGCTGCATTTGCGTTGGCGTATCGTAGGTGTGTCGCCCCCCAGTGCGGAAGGCGTCATTTTTCCTCCTCCTCCTCCTCCTCACCCTGAACCTTTCGTGCCATCATCCCCCGTCCCGTTCCCTCCGCAGCAGATGCTTCCGGCGACTGGCTGCCCTTGGGCCTGGCCTATTTGCGCCAACCTCGCGGATGATCGGGGGCGGGAGGAGGCGAACGGCGGAGGAGGAACCCGGGGGAAGCAGCAGCAGCCCCGGCGGCAGCAGGGGCGGCAGCACCGGGCGAGGGGCGAGGCGTGGTCGCGCACCGCGTCGCGTGCCCTTCTGCGGTTGTCCCGAGCCTGGCGAGGTGCAGGAGCGAAGGCGGAGGATGGGGCATCTTCTCAGGGAGAGGAAATGATGCTGCTGATGATGATGATGATGATGATGATGATGCTGATGCTGATGCTGATGATGATGATGATGACGATGATGATGATGTTGATGATGATGATGCTGATGATGATGATGACGATGATGATGATGATGATGATGATGGTGATGATGATGACGATGATGATGATGACGATGGTGATGATGTTGATGATGCTGATGATGATGATGATGCTGATGGTGATGATGATGGTGATGATGATGATGATGATGATGATAATGATGATGATGATGATGCTGATGATGATGATGATGATGATGATGATGATGATGATGATGATGATGATGATGATGGTGGTAGTGATGAGGATGGTGATGATGATGGTGAGATGATGATGGTGGTGGTGATGACGATGGTGGTGGTGGTGGTGATAATGATGGTGATGAGTATGGTGATGGTGGCGGTGGTGGGGAGGGAGGAGGAGGAGGAGGAGGAGGAGGAGGAGGAGGAGGAGGAGGAGGAGGAGGAGGAGGAGGAGGAGGAGGAGGTTGTTGGGGACGGGCCTAAAGCCAGATTACCTCCACGTTCAGCCAAAATCGGAGGCCTCCGAGTCTGACTCGAAACCGCAGTGCGAGGCACGGAGGGAGGCGGCGCCGAGGTCCTTGACCCAGGGCAAATCCGACTCAGCAAGGCCGAACGAATCCAAAACCTGCTCTCGCGGGGCGAAGCCCTCCGCGGAGCCGACAGTTGCGGGACCTGAAACTCCCTGGGGGGCCTGGCCATCCTCTTCCAGCGACTGAGCCAAGACCCTCCGCTCGGCGAGGCTAAGGCTCACGTGAGCCCCCAGAGTCAAATTCTTCAGGTCCTTCTTGTACGAGGGAAACTTGCCCTGCCGAATCCTTCTCAGCTGGTCATTAATTCCGCCCGTCGTCGATTTGGGCCTGCACAGGCCTTTAGCTCCAGCATTGGGAGCCCCAGAGAAAAATGATCCACACCGACAACAAAACTGGATCCTACCCCTGGGGTTTCCAGGAGGTTCCAAGACAGGGCTGGCCAAAAAAGCATGACCGTTGGCCCGAAAAACTTGCCCAGAGAAAGAACGCCACTCCTCCCCCAAGTCCGAAGAACCTCCCACCTCCCTTTGATCGTCGGCCAGGGCCTGGCCGTGGGCATCATCGTCTTGTGAGTGCTGCCACTGGCCATCGCTGCCTGTCGACCTGGGCACAAGGCCCGTTGAATCACGGGGCCCGTTGGACATCAGCACCTCGACCGATCCAGCCCACCTGCAGGCCTCGCGGGCGAGGCACCTGAGGCCTCTGTACAGGCTGGCCTCTTCGTCGCTGACCCCGTGACACTCAGCTCCTAGTTTGGCGAACTTATCTGCGAGCCCATTGGCCCGTCTTTCCCAAACACTGCTCCTGCCAGCCTCGACATCGGCCGCAGTGGCGTGGCCGAGCGTCTTGTAACACTCGAAATCGCTGAGAGTGAACGAGCTCCACACTGGGCCCCACAGATGACCACGGGGGGCCCCAGGGCCCTCCGCGAACCCAGGGCCCCGAGCCAGCGAATCCAGAGTGCTCTGGCAATCAATATAGCATTGAAGCGGGGGAAGACCTACTTGCGTAAGCATATATACAGCATAGTCTTCCCCATCTTTACTAGTTTGCTGCGGGGCCGCACTCAGAGGAACTGGACCGTAGGCCGCCGAGATCAACTCCCCAAACCTGTCGACCGACACGATACTCCAACCAGCCCGAGTGAGCCCATCGAGGCCCATGTATTTGGCCGACCCGTCCAGGAAGAGCAGCCCCGTCAATAGCCCCGTCTCGGGCCTCTCGTGCCAGTGAACCGTTTGCGTGGGCTCCT